GTTTTCATTCCCCCCCACCCCTCCCCCCTTCTCTCTCTCTTCCAAAGGAACACACGCAGCAAAACGTTTTGTTAGTGATTGCCCGCTTCCTGTTTTTTCTCGTTGTGTCCTTCAGACTATCTGTCTGCCCTATCTGTCTATCTGTCTGTCTGTTTGTCTGTCTCTCCGCTTGCCAGTCTGGCTGTCTCCCCCTCCCCCTCTCTCTCTCCTTCCCTGTGTGATTCCTGTTCGCCTGTGTCTGCTCTAAATAAGCCCCAAAGCCACCCACAATAATCAGCTGCTGCTACACGATGCCTGTAGCCTTTCCAGAATATGGAACAAGTTCTTATTTGAGGCGGTCGCCCATGGCTAGTGAGCGTCTTTTCTGCTGACTTCATTAGAAGAGTAAAATATTGGACGGATGATCTATCTTCCCAGAAACCTCTTGCGGGCGGCAATCAGATGATCGTTCAAAGATCTACTCCGATGTCAGCATCTGGGACATTAGGCAAGTTACTGAAATAGCCCAGTTTAATTACATTAGTTTTTTAGATAAGCCTGGTACTTCAGAGAGTTTGATTATCTTTGTTAAAGAGATCCCGACCACTTATGTGAGACTTCTTTATTAAGATAGAGGAAATGGACAATTACAGTAAAGTTTAAAAATTGTAATTTGCAGAAATAACTATCTTGCTAGCCCCTTACCCCATCTCCTTTTCTTCTTGTCTCAGTTTACCTCTAGTTTAAAACAAAATAGTTTCGTCATTGGTGCTTTAACGAAGACAGAAAATATTATCTAATGACAGAATTACTTGTTTTGTTTTGCTTGTTATCCCTTTCAGAGATTTGAAAAGAGAGTTGGGAGTTGGATTTGTGTAGATTTTTAGGTACTGTCTCTGAGGTTTGGGCGTCATGAGTTCGATACCCGTAACGTTACACAGTGGGTTTTTTTCACTTATTTTTCCAGCCTTTCAGATATTGATTCCCTCTAATGAAGGCAGTCGTGAAACCACAAGGGCTTCCTATTAACGATAGGTTGGTTGAAAATGTACTTATGCATCATTAAAACTCTAAGATGAGGAACACAGGTATCGAATTTCGAAAATCATTGTGATTAATGGCAATCCGCATTATTCCCAGATTTTTTTTTCGAGTTCTATTTGACAGAATCCGATTTGATTTTTGAAAAACAAAATGGGTTGGCATTTCAAGATCATTCAGGCCCTAATTTTAAAACGGATACAAAAAAACTAGCTGTTATTGATGGAATAGTTATCGGCGTTTGTTGTGACCTCTGTAACATATCGGTGTAACTCTTCAATCACTTGAATCGCTATTCCCTTTATCTTTAAATGAAAGAAATGTCACCCCCCAAAAAACCCCCACAACAACACACAATACAAAACAAAAACTATTTAAAATTTCCGCTGCTCATCCCCTTGTGACGACAAGGAAACTAGAAAATCCTCAAAATTGCAATGTAGAGTCTAGGTTCCGCTTCTAAACGGTAAACCTGTGCATCATATTACGTTATAATAATAAAAAAGCAACAACAACTGGAAACGAAAAGATAATCCAATAAGGATAGTCCAAAGTTTACAGTTTCACCGTGAACTCATTTAATGTCAGAGTAAACTGCAATGCAGAAGAGCACGGGTTCGAATCCACTGGACCTGATTCGTGTCCGAGAATTTTCATTTATTTTCACCTACTTGACTTAATCCTGTTAGACAGTAATACTGCAGTTGGACAACACCCCCCCCCCTCCACACACACACACGCACACACACACACACACACAAACACACATACACACACACACACACACAAACACACACATACTCAAACATACACACACACGTACACACTTCCCAGTACGCCCTCTTTTAAAAGGCTTTTGTCTAGCCGAAGGGCTAGAGCTCAAATGGCCTCTGGATCGGAAAAGTAAAGTAAAGTAAAATAAATGACCTTTGTATCTTGAAAAGCGAATCAAACCCACACCACACACACACACTCACCTGACAGGATGCACGTGACGCTGAGCGCCGCCACCAGCCGGTCGCTGACCCCCTTGGCCCGAGCTGGTAGCCACAGGATGACCACCAGGACCGGCATCAGGTTCTCCACCACCAGCGCCACCTCCAGGACGATGATGAACACACCGGACACGTGCAGCTGTTGGCCCGGATGTGACCCGCCACGACCTTGACCCAGCACACCGGTTCGCACGTTGGTGCCAGACATGGCTGAAACTAAAGAAAACCAAATGGTTAAATATAGGGGCCAGCTGATTTCTTTGGTGGTAGCCTACACTTTGTATGTTTTATGCAGGTTTTCTTTAATTAAAAAGGCACGCTGTTTTTTCTTTTTCATTTTTTTGGTTTTGATGAACGACTTTTGGTCAACTACATGTTGTTCTTCCGCTGGTATTCAAAAATTGCTAATGAATTGATATCAACCCACATTCATTGTTTGTAGCTTCGCAGCTTTTTTTTGTTTTGGTTTTGGTAAGTGTTTTAAGGCGCTCGCAACTTCGCAGCTTTACAGGACGTATTTTTGTGTCTCAAAGTTAAAGGAATACGCCTCTTCAAATACAGAAATGCTACTTCTGAGTCTTGGTCCAGCTTTCAAAGGTTCCAACTGACCGAATATGCAGAGAGCCATGACAACTCCCCTAATAATGCAAAAGAAGTAAATGGTGTATGGCTGGGGGTTCGAACTGCAAGGGAGTTTAGCGTGATACCAGCAGAAAGATTGGCATATTTTTTTCCAGATAAGCCCTTGTTACGGTTCACAGAAGAGAAGTCATTTTAGATCATATCAATGGGAATCTTTCATTTTCTATATGTTTTGTATGCATGCACATGAATATAAAAACCATAAATACATACAATCGCAGGACCCATGCGCTTCCCATAACATGCACTTTTACGCGAGTATATAAATAAGAAGGGCATCATGGAAGCCATAATATGCGACGGGGGTGTGTGACAGAGGTGGAGGACAGAGTTATTACCGTCAGGAGATTACCAGTTTTGTTTGGGAAACCAATCGATAACAAACGACTCTTGTCCCAACATGATGTTTGTCAGGTCTCATCCCAGTTTATTTTCCCTCTGCCTCCATTCTGTTCCCGATTCGTGCAACGGAGCAAATAAGTTCGCTTTACGCGGATCGTGGATAAAAGCGTGGCAAAGAATAACCGTTGGATCCGGTTTCTGAGTTTGTGATGTTACTAGCTTTGAATCTGAGGCGATTTTTAGAAATGTAACGTGGCTGACGTAGACGGAAAGAGAGAGAGAGAGAGAGAGAGAGAGAGAGAGAGAGAGTAAAATAGAGTGGATGGGGGAGGAGGAGAAGGGGATTGCCTGAGAGAGAAACACGGTTAGGATCAAATTGGAATGTTAAAATTTTAATTAACATCGTTTTTTACTCCCACCCATTTCCCAGGATTCTCAAGCCTTCAATTTTAAATATCCTTAACGTAATGTCCTATTCAAGTAAGTTCACCATTTGCGTTTGTGTATATCGTATAAGTCGGATATCATGAGAGGAGCAACAGTTCTCCGCTTTATGAAAGCCATTGTACGTGCCCCAGGAAAATAACATTAATGAGTAATACCAACGGGTATTTGTTCGCTCCGTTTTCACACGGCTTCCTCCGATCTGCCCTTAATTTTTTCCCGAATTATTCATAATCTATCATGTCCATCATTCGTTATCCTCTAAACTCGAAACATCATCAGTCTTCCATCTCTTTTCTTGTCTCCCAAAGCATTTGCAATCTCTCTAACTCTCTCTCTTTCTCGCTCTTTCTCTCTCGTTCTCTCCCTCTCTCTCGTTCTCTCTCTCTCTCTCTCTCTCTCTCTCTCTCTCTCTCTCTCTCTCTCTCTCTCTCTCTCTCTCTCTGTCTCACACACACACACACGCAGACACACACTCACACACATACACGAACGCAATTTGTCTATCTATCTATCTATCTATCTATCTATCTATCTATCTATCTATCTATCTATCTATCTATCTATCTATCTATCTATCTATCTATCTATCTATCTATCTATCTATCTATCTATCTATCTATCTATCTATCTATCTATCTAACCTTTTGCATATATACAATATACATGTGCAATGTACGAATTACATTTACGGATTCCGTTACATTTAATCTGTCTCACTATATGGCCCTTAATCTTTTTAACTTGTTGAGTTTCTCTAACGTTCTTTCTCCCACTCTTTCTCTCTATTAATCTCTGCCCACTCCACTCCCGTTTCTCTCATTTCATGCCCCATTCCTTTTTACCACCCAGCTCCAAGTTCCTTTTAACATGTCCTTCTGTCATCTTATCGTTATTTTTCCCCTATTGCCATGCGCCTTGCAACTTCACGAACGATGATCACTATAAAAAAGATGCAAGCTTAATGAGGACAATGTCAGCTATGTGAAAGAAAGATAACCTCTATTTTTATGTGCTTGCTTGCCTCTGAAGGGTGCGTGTGTCCACTCATTTCTTTTAACCCCCCCCCCCCCAAGCTCCCAGTCCAAGTTTCTTCATCTATTAATCTCCATCTTTCACTCTCCAGTTCCTTTTCTTTTACTCCTTCTCTCACCACGCCCCTCTCTCCCCATTCCTCTGTCTGTCTGTCTGTCTGTCTGTCTGTCTGTCTGTCTGTCTGTCTGTCTGTCTGTCTGTCTGTCTGTCTGTCTGTCTGTCTGTCTGTCTGTCTGTCTGTCTCTCTCTCTCTCTCTCTCTCTCTCTCTCTCTCTCTCTCTCTCTCTCTCTCTCTCTCTCTCTCTCTTTCTCTTTATTCTACTTCTCATTATCTCTCCCATTTCGTAAAGGGCACGTAGTTCCCATCAGGTCGTTTATAAAATCTTATTTTCTGTTAGTCGGTCATAGATCTATGAGGTCCTTGCATGAAAAATGACCCAAGTAATGTAGGGATAATAACCTTCAAAAAATAGTCCAAGCAATGATAAAGCCATTCTTCATTTCTTGTTAGAGTGAGGTTGGGCTTAACATAACACAAAATAAAAATAAAATTGTTAAAAGTAAAAAAAAAGAAGAAGATGAATAATAGCTAGATCTATATCACTGCTTAGTATATTTCAAAAAGTCATTATCTCCACGATAAGTGTGTCACTTTTCAAAGAATGGCTCTATATCAGAAAACAGCGTCTAGTCGGGCTTCTTATAGTTTCTTGCACTTTTCATTTCCTCTTTAAACACTATCCTTTTTCTATTTCATATTTTCGGTTCTGTTTCCTTTACATATTTATGTATGTATGTATGTATGTATGTATGTATGTATGTATGTATGTATGTATGTATGTATGTATGTATGTATGTATGTAAGTATGTAAGTATGTATGCATGTATGCATGTATGCATGTATGCATGTATGCATGTATGCATGTATGTATGTATGTATGTATGTATGTATGTATGTATGTATGTATGTATGTATGTATGTATGTATGTATGTATGTATGTATGTATGTATGTATGTATGTATGTATGTATGTATGTATGTATGTATGTATGTATGCATGTATGCAAGTATGTATGCATGTATGCATGTATGCATGTATGCATGTATGCATGTATGCATGTATGTATGTATGCATGTATGTATGTATGTATGTATGTATGTATGTATGTATGTATGTATGTATGTATGTATGTATGTATGTATGTATGTATGTATGTATGTATGTATGTATGTATGTATGTATGTATGTATGTATGTATGTATGTATGTATGTATGTAGTATCTCTATCTCTCTCTATATAAATATATATACATTGTATATATCTATCTCTATCTCTCTCTATATAAATAAATTTAAAAAAAAAAAAAAAAAAAAAAAAAAATATATATATATATATATATATATATATATATATATATATATATATATATATCTATATATATAAAAGTGGACTTGGGAAGCTTTGTGCGCAAACTCCTCCCTCATTACCCAACCCACACCTTTGAAACTTCGCAGGCGTCCACAGCATCCATGTGACTAGGACCTTACTTTACAAAATCCCCGCAAACTGCTTTCCCTGATTTTTCCAAATGCTTTGTTTCGTCCACATAGAGTTCTAATCTTGGGAAAGTCCGTCTTCTAAGACGCCATTGTAAACAAGTGAGTTTTCCGTTCACTAGCCGTGCGCACTGTTTCCACACCTTTGAAATTCTGGAGTGTACAACCACGAAAGTGGAATAGAGAATCAATCTATAAATCTATTATATATTTGGCAACTTGGAAACACGTGTGTCACCTTTCTTTCAGGATTTATAGCTCCATTACAGAAGAGTGTAAATATAGTAGGCAAATGACTTTCAGTTGATGTTAATGCACCTATCATTCCTTTCATCGAAAGGGGCCCCAGCTAGTATATAAATATAACAAATAAAATAAAAATGTAGTACGCTCCCAGCGAACTGATGTTCAATCTCGAATTTTTTCTACATGTATATTTTAAAAAGTTAAAAACACATACATATCGAAATTCGTTCACGACCAAAAGGTTTCTGTGCCCGCCCATTTTGCTATATTCGTGCTAGACTATTATTATATATAATATATAGATTTACATACACACAGACGAACGAACGATACTTTGAAAGACAATAATCTAGGTTTCAGGATTCACTGATTACACACACACACACACACACACACACACACACACACACACACACACACACAAACAGAGATAGATAGATAGGTAGATAGATAGATAGATAGATAGATAGATAGATAAATAGATAGATAGATAGATAGATAGATAGATAGATAGATAGATTGATAGATAGGGGGAAGAGAGGTAAATTTGAGAGTGGGAAAGGGAAATGGGGATCGATAGATAGATAGATAGATATATAGATAGATAGACAGATAGATAGATAGATAGAGAGATAGATAGATAGAGAGATAGAGAGATAGATAGAGAGATAGATAGAGAGAGAGAGAGAGAGAGAGAGAGAGAGAGAGAGAGAGAGAGAGAGAGAGAGAGCACCGTGGACCAGACGAGAGGCCCATTACCGCACCCCCAAAAAAGCGACATGCCATAAAGTATAAAAGAGACAAACGATACACAGCAGATAACAAAGACAAAACCCATAAACCTCCCACGCGCCTCTCAACAAGTTAGAAACAGGATTCGCGTGAGTCAAAACCATCGTGTCTCATATATTATAGTGCAAACTACCGCGTACACGTAAACATTTTGATCATATATTTTGTGTCTCATG